TATAGGTGTCTAATTAACTAACTAACTAACCTCCCTTAACCCCTAATTAATTAACTAATCAATTCCCAAACCCCCAACTTAAAACTAAAATGTCAAAACCTGGCAGCATCTACGCCCACCCATACAGACCGTGGATGGGTCTATTGGCCGTCATGTGGTCTCGGGGTTTGCACCTGAGGCTTGTCTTGGCAGGCCTTGACCTACGGGGAGTGGTTTGGTCTATTGGCCATGGATGGCCATCCGTAGGTCATCAAATTTTCCAGATTTAGGGGACTGTTTTGGGGTCCTCCTCAAGGACCCCTTGGGTGGTCCTTGGGGAGTCGTACCTGGACGTTTCACCCCTAAAACCCCTATTCTAAGTATGGGAACCATTTTTACAAGTTTTAACCCTCATACGACACTCCAAAACTCTTACCAAAGGCTCTAGAACTCACTAGTTCAACTCACTAAATTACGGGGTGTTACATTCACACTTATTTCCTGCTTTGTTAAATTGTCGAGGGTTCTGTCATGATATCTATATTAATATTAGAGACTTCATAGATAGTTAGAATTGAGGAGTCTCTAATTATTTTTTCCCTTTTTGTTGAGATGGTTTGAGATCTTGAGACGGTTACATATATCTTGTTAAGTATTTCCATATATTTATTTGAGTTAAGTTTTAATTCAGACTTTAAAGTTTAATTATGCATTTAAAGTTTCCATTTTTTCTTAAGTAAGTCTTCCGCTAAGTAGTCAGTCAGGCCAAGAGTTCGCTTGGGGACCAACGATAGTTCTCGAGTGTCGGCCACGTCCAGGGTGTAGGCTCGGAGAGTGACAAAAAGCGGAGGAAACTCAAGTAGTACAATGTAGGTGCATCGAAAAGAAATGATGATAAATTCAAAAGCCATCAAAGAGAGGGAATTAAGTTATCGTTTAGGGGGAGCTTCAAAGAACTATTGGGGCAGAAACAAGATGTTTGAAGGAAAGTGCCACCATTGTGTAAAGAAGGGTAATAAAACCAAGGTTTGCTGGTTTAATAAAAGTTCTATTGAGAGCAACACTACAACCACTTTGATCCAAAGGAAAATAGTGAAGATGATTGGGATGTTGAAGCATTCATTGTTGTAGAACAAGAGGAGTCAACTCTTACAGTAACAACCTCTAAATAAATTGATTATTAGAATGATTTGATTATTGACTCAGGATGCTCAAATCATATGACTGGTGACAAAGAAAAGTTGCAAAATATGTTACAAGTACAAAGAAAGTCATAAGGTGGTGACAACCGATAATATAAAACTTACTGATATCTCATATTGATAAGATTGTAGTGTCTACAAATAATAGTAACGATATGATATTGCTCCAAAATATTTATCATGTCCCATGTATGAAGAAATATCTTCTTTTAGTAGCACAATTGATATCTTTGGGTCATTTTATTATATTTGGTCCACAAGATGTAAAGATATATCATGATCTTAAGATTAAAAAGTGACAGTAATAAAGGAACAAAGACTGAAGTTCGTCTATGTAATATTGACATAAATCGCATATATAGACAAGAATGGAAGAGAGAAACCACAAAATTATACCATATGTGGTTGAGTCACATTAGCTACTTTAAACTTAGTACTGTCATGACGGAAAAATCAATGTGGAATGGTCTTCCCAAACTTTAAGTAAAAACAGATGCAATATGTGCAAGCTCCCAGTATGATAAAATGCATTAATTTCCATATGAAGAGTCAAAATATAAAGCCAAAAAATCATTAGAGTTAATTTATTCAAATGTGTTCGGACCTATTAAGCAATCTTTATTGGTGGGATTAAATATATGTTGACCTTTATCGATGATTTTTCCAGATATGCGTGAATTTATTTTTTGAAGAAAAAGTCTGATACATTTTCAAAATTCAACGAATTCAAAAAGGTTGTTAAAGAAAAAGTTGACAAGAAAATTCTTTGCATGCGAACTGACAACGGAGGGAATTTTACTTTATATAAATTTTCAGAATTTCTTCAAAAGGGTGAAATACATCTTCAGTTCATATATCCAAATAAACCACAATAAATGGCGTAACTTAAAGGAAGAACGTGGCCTGGAAGAAATCTGTCGGAGCTTGCTTCACGCGAAAAATATCGCAAAATAATTTTGGACGGAAGCTATATCTGAAGACTGCAACTTTTATGATTAATAGACTTCCTCAACAAATGTTAAATTTACTTTCACCTTTTGAGAAGTTATGGAATATGAAACCTTCAGCTAGCTATTTTTGTGTTTTCGGATGTGTATGATGTATATGTACTTGTACCTAATCATTTACCTATCAATATGGACAAGAAGATTGTTAAGTGTATCTTTACCACACATGACATTAATAAAAAATGATGGCGAACTTGTGATCCAACGAAAAGTGTTACACTTCTTGAAATGTGATATTTGATGAAGTTTTTCATGGTGGTCTCCAAATAAGGAACTACTGCAAGATTCAGATGTTCTAAAAGATATATTGGATTCGTCTCATATCCCTTTAAGTCTAGATGAAGCTGAAGTTGAAGCGAATGAAGATAAAGTTGAAGAAGGTGTGACCCAAAATCCTTGGCAAACTAATTATACCAACAATCAAGTGAAGAAAGCGAGCTAACTGGAGTTAACATACCCCATCACTTAGAAGGTCATCGAGGATCACAAATAAAAATTCAAAGTGTGTCAATGTTGTCATAGTAGAAGTAGAAAATGAAAAAGAACTAGAGACTTTTCAGGAAGCATTTTAGAATACAAGTAGATTATTTAAAACTTTGGAGGAGGAAATTATTGTGCTAGAACTGAATCAAACTTGGGTGCTCGTGGCAAAGTCAAGGAATGTCAAACCTATTTCTTGCAAATGAATTTAATAGATAAGGTGTCACCCAATGGATCAATTGAAAGACACAAAGCTCGATTTGTAGCCCGGATATTTTCTTGGCAAAATGAACTAGATAATAATGAAATTCTTAGTCTAGTTGCTAAGCTTACTATTATCCAGAATCTACTTGCTCTTGCATCCATTAAAGATTGGAATCTAAGGTAGATGGACATAAAAAATGTCTTTTTATGGAGATTTGGATCGGGAGATAAACATTTGTCGACCAATGGATTTTAGAGTCAAGATCATCCTAATTATATATGTATGTAAGATTTGAAAGGTGTTATATGGATTAAAGCAAACATCAAGGTTATGGAATGATAAGATTTCTGAATTTCTTACTCAGTTGTTATTCAATAGCACCAGCAGATTCCAGTTTGTTTGTTAAAGTCGTTGAAAGAAAACTAGTTGCATTCTAGAATATATGGATGATCTAATCCTAACAGGAGATGAAGAAGAAATTTTCTTAACCAAGAAGAATTTATCAATTCACTTCTAGATGAAAGAACTTGAACAACTTAACCATTTTCTTGGCTTGGAGATTGATCGTAATGAAGAAGAAATTTTCTTAACCAAGAAGAATTTATCAATTCACTTCTAGATGAAAGAACTTGAACAACTTAACCATTTTCTTGGCTTGGAGATTGATCGTAATGAAGAAGAAATTTATTTGCATCAGAAAAAATATTCCAAAGATCCGTTGAAGAGTTTGGGATGCTTAATTGCAAATCAATCTTAACACATTTGGGCCAAATGCTAAGATGCGTGCACATGAAGAAAAAGATTTAGAAGATGTGATGATGTATCGATTATTGATAAATAGTCTGATTTATTTAACTTAAACTCGACCTGATATTTCTTTTGTAGTTTGTGTGATGAGTCGCTACATCAAAAATCCAGAGAAGCACCATATGGAGGTTGTTTGGCGAATACTAAGATATGTGAAAAGTACAATTGATCATGGTCTTTGTACAAGAAAGGTGAAGAATGCGAGTTGGTTGGATACTGTGACTCTGATGATACAGGGACCATGATACCCGTCGTTCAACTATGTGCTTTGTGTTTAAACTCAAGGTTGGAGCACTTCCTTGGTACAGCAAAGGCAATCAATACTGTCGTTATTAACAACATAAGTCTGTATCAGGCACCAGTTGTTGCAACTCAAGAAAGTATGTGTCTTATGCACAGTTGATGAAGGATTTACAACAAATATTTGGCTACGCAGTTCCTTGTACTGTGACAATCAGTCAGCAATCTGCTTGACTGAAAATTCTGTTTTTTCTTGCACGGACTATGCATATCAAAATACATTACAACTTCATCAGAGAAAAAATATTGCAATGAGAGATCAACTTGGATCATAGTAAAACCGAGCAACAAATTGCAGACGTGTTTACAAAAGGCTTAAGTGTCAACTAAAATTTATTCCTGACATTTATATTTTTGCACTATTTAACCATCCTCATTTATAATATCATCATTAAGTGTATCATAAATTCTTTGATGATCATAGAATATTTAGTTTTCTCTAGCTTTTATTTTCTTAATGCTTGTTTATAAGTAGAGATTTGTTACATTATTAGGTTTGGTAAGGTAAAGCCTAATCTCCCTTGCGTGTACTTATTCACGTTGATGATTTTATTTTATTATTAATAAAAGACCGCTAAATACTCTATCCAGTGGTATATATAAATTCGTCAAAAAAAAAACTTCACAATAATTGTGTTGGCTTTATTTTTGTGTGCTTTCGATAGATATTTTGATTTATTTTACTTGTTACATTTTTCGCATTTTGTCATATGGAAGAAGTTGGCAAAAATAATAACTCCGGTTGATTAATGTTGATAATGAAAATATTGTGAAAGAAGTGCAAAGAATACATTAATCCGATGTGAGTAATGTACCAAAATCTGAAACATTTTTTCTACTCTATATATCATGTGGTGAGTACGCATGAATTAAGGCTATATACTTGGACTCTTTAGTTGTAACTCCGTATACGTATTCGCGTATTGCGTGGACAATTATAATAAAAAGAGGTTTCTCAGGATTGACCTCACAAGAACACTTCTAAGAGTTGTTGATCGATCGACATGCCTTTTTTGAATTTCATTTGGTTCGGAAGCAATAACCAGAATTCTCATATTTTCCTCCCCACCTGTTAATTATCAGATTAAAATTTAAATAACAATCTTCCTCAATAATACAAAATATATTGTTGTATAAAGTGCAACTGATATACGAATTCATTTGAACCTGCATTCTTCTTCGTTTATTGGAATTTGAAGTTCCAAGTCATGTTGTTCTAATGGCTTGAAGATTAAGTCGAGTTGCTCATCGTGTACTTTGTCAAGAGTTGAAGGGTTCCACTGAAAATGAAGAAAGAAAAGTGTTCTATCAATATTTTTTTTATGTAAACACATGCATCAACTACTTATTATCAGTTTCAGTATTGAAAATATGTTACTTTTTTAGTCGAATAAACTGACTTGACTTTATAGGTATTCGAAATTCTTGATTGGTTAATAAGACTACCAACACTTGAAGGAACAAATTAAAGGAGCATACCTTTGGAGACTTATCCTTGTCAATGATGGCAGCCCTTATTCCCTTTAAAAGTAAATCGAAGAATTCGCAAATCAAGTGTACCTCTTTGTGAATATGGTTGCTTAATTTTAAAATAAATAAATTACCTCATATAAATCATCAGATATTATGGTTCGTAATATGTTTATCGTAATCCTGAATTCTTTTCTCAAACATTCAGATAGGGTTTGTGTCCGTCCTTCTCGTATCTGAGAAAAATAAATAATATAGAGAAAATGTAAGATTCTTTATCTTTGGCAGTTCAATAGATCTGCATAAATTCTTTGTATAAATTAGGACTAGTTATACCGATCTCAGTGTTATTTTCAATCCAATTGGAGATGCTTTCTTTATACTTTTAAGCACTGGCATAATCCAATCATTCCCTTTTTTGCCTGCTTCAGCTTCCTGAAAATTAAATTACAGTTATATCAATTGTACGTTTTATTTTATATCATTGGAATTATTTCATATATAGTATAATCAATGCTTACAAATGAATCCAGGATCTCCTCCACAGTTTCCCTGGAGAAACAATCATCGATTATGGACAACCTATAATTGATTTATGAAAAATGCATCAGTGTGAATATCCTCACAAGAACAGTTTGAAATCATGATACATTACTTGCTCAAGACACTTGTTTCATCTATTTGAACATTAGTAGAGAATTCGTCGATGACAGATCTAATAGTATCCTCTTCACCACCATTGTTTATGCTCAGTAAACTCTTCTCTAACTGAAATAATTTGTGTGAAGGTACAAAATGAGTTGCTAATCCAGCAGCAACCACTTCTTTACCCTTCAATTTCGCTCCTGTTAAGCCCAAGTATTCTCCTACATACATTTAACAACATCACATATATATATATATTCAAATTTTAAAAATATATACATGTTCTAACTTACTTACCAAGTCGACCTGGAAGGCGTGAGAGTATGTATGATAAGCCACAATCTGGGTGATACCCTAGATTTGCTTCAGGAGTGGAACAAAACTGCAAACGAGAAAACATTAAGATTAATAATTTACTAAAGATGTCGTTATTCAAATCATCATAAGAATGGTACTAACTGCTTTCTCAGTGACGACGGAGAATTTCATTGGAGCCATTAAGCCTACACCACCACCCATTGACATTCCATGAACAAGAGCGATATGTGGTTTCTTGTAAGTATGAATGTGGTAGAAAAGCCAATAAATTCTATAAACACCTTCAAGGACAGAATCCCCTAAAAAGAATATGAATACATGTTTAATTGAGTAAACATATAGTAATTAATTCAATCGAAACAATAGTTAATTACTTGCATCATATATCCTTTCCAAATCCCCACCAGCAGAGAATGTACGGCCAGCTCCCTATGTACAAATGGATTAAATAATGAATTTGTCAATTAAGTGAATATAATTAAAATAAATTAAATACTACTACTTAATTACCTTGAGGATTACAAATTTAGCATTGTCATCTTTCTCATATTTCTCCAATTTCTGCCCCAGCGTTAATGCCTAATATAAATGAACTTTTATAAGTAAGTGAACATACAAATTACAATAGCCATTTTAAATATATGTTTAATTTGTACATGTTGCATACCACTTTTTCTGATACATAATTTAAATTGTTAGGCCGATTTAAGGTCAGCACTCTACCGTGCCCAATTTCCTCAGCAATAACAACCTGAACAAAACAAAAACAAAAAAAAATTGCTCGAAGATATAATTAAGTAAATAAAAATATGGATACATAAAAATTAAGTACCTCTCTATTTTGTTTCATTACCTCTGAAGGCATCGGAAATGTTGTGATAGTACTTGGAAGAGATGTTATTCCCATTGGAAAAGTCGACTCAAAGAAAGAAGAGTGATGAGTGCAGAATTTGGAACCTGAGGAAATGAACACTTGTAAACAATAATTCTTAAAAGATTTATATAGACTTAAAATCTGGGCATTACAATCACAGATAGATGATCAACTAATTTCTTGTCTTTATAACTTTGTGCATGGAAAAGGACTTAATTTATACTCCTAGTGTTATGCATGTATAGGGGTGGGCATGGTATCATATATATCAAATACCCTATTGAAATCAAAATTGTTTATATCGCAATATAAATATTATGGTATTTTTGGATCAAAGTATTGACGATAAGGGTATTTTTGGACCAAACGAAGGATATTTTGGTTCCTTTCGCATAGTTTAAGGACATTTTTGATCATTTTCCCTATAATTAAACATATATCATCAAATCATTTAGGGATAGAAGTTTAGCTCTTCGCCAAATTTTTGACTATTTAATCGTGATTGAAATATTTTTTTTGTGAAATTGTTAAACAAAGATATATAGTTGTTAGTCTAATATGATTGAGATATTTTAAAAAAAAAAAAATTACGTTATAATTCTTTATTATATAAATGTATGTAAGTTGAAGTCAAACAAACTATGGTTATCAAATAATCATAACGTAAAATATCGAACCATATATACCGAACTAATTTGATATGATAATGATATAATACTTTTAGCTTTTAGATACCAAAAATCAAAAATTATCGTATCGAATTTTAAAATACCATATCATATCGTATCATACCCACCCCGTTTAACCATTTTTAATTATAGAATTATCTCTCTTTCCTGAAAGAATTATCGTGATATATAATAATATAAATTAGATAGATCAAATTTTGTTTTGTGAACACTGAATTTTTTACTGTTTTACACTATTTTAAGTTTTTTTTAGTAGGAAAACATGTAACATAAGTAACATTCTACCTTGATTGCATTTTTTCCACCAATCAACACATCTCATTTTCATCTCTTTCTCATAGTCTTCATCCCGACCACCCTACAAAATTTGTTTCTCATAAAAGTATTTTTTGTTTACGTATCAAAAATAACTAAGGGACCCACAATTTAATATTTATAAATCTTTTGAGAATTGTGAACGAAAAGAGTACACAATTTAATTTAGACCGAAATAGAGGGAAAGAAGCCTAGAGCTAGCCTAAGCGGCAGCAACACAATTCTAAATATAGGATCGTTTGGCCCCAAAAATACTTTGGAAAAACTTGGGGAAACTTGGGAAGTGGTTAGGATGGCAATGGAGCGGGGCGGGGCGGGTGGGTTTAAGGCTACGCAGGGCGGGGGCAATTTTAGGTTATGCGGGGAGGGAGGGATGTGGGGCAGATTGAAGTGGGTTTTTTAAAAACTAATGTGGGGCGGGGCGGGGCGGGTGGGTTTAAGGCTACGCAGGGCGGGGGCAATTTTAGGTTATGCGGGGAGGGAGGGATGTGGGGCAGATTGAAGTGGGTTTTTTAAAAACTAATGTGGGGCGGGGCGGGGCGGGTTGCGGGTATATGTGATTTTATATGGTTCAAACTTATATTTAACTTTTTAAATGTTATAAGAGTGATAAAACATTATTTATTAAGATAATTTGTTTAAAGATACTAAAATATTCAAGATAGTAAATGAAAATGGTTCAATAAAAAATAATACAATTTGTTACATGTTTCCCAATTGACCTCTAAAAAATAAATTTTTAAGTCATTCTCTATTAAATTAATAAAACTTGATGAAAAAATGAATTTTATTTTTATGAATTTTAATTTTAGTATCAAACTTAACAAGAAAAAGAAAATATTAAAAAAATTATGCGGGGCGAGTTCATGCTGGGCGGGTCTATGCGGGGCGGGGTGGAGCGGGTTGAAAATGAAAAAAGTTGTTATACGAGGCGGAGCGGGGTGGATTAAAAATTTTGCAGGTTAAGCTAAACCCGCCCCGCCCCCGCTCCGCCCCATTGCCATCCCTAGAAGTGGTGTTTGGCCATATAACTTGGCAAATATATTTGCCAAGTATCCCAATTTTTCAAATACTAGAAAAAAATAGTATTTGGGTCAAGTTCTAATATTTGGGAATTTTAAAAAAATCAAAAATTACCCTTAACTGTTATATTTTATAAAAAATATTCATTATTTATTAATTCCAACTAATATTTGTTACTACCTCCTCCAGAAAAGTTTGAGTTCTAATTTGAGTGATAAAATTGAGAAAAAAGAACAATTTGTGTTTAATGGATAATAATTATAACTGAATTAGTGACAAGTTTGAGTATGCGATTAATGTATTGTCTTGCCTATATTGTTTTTGTTTATTGTTACCAATTATATTATAAGATTAATTTTTAACGGAACATATTCATTATAAAATGATAATGTAAATTTGTGGGTATTTTTAATAATTTTTAGAACTTATGGGTGTAAATCATTTTTTTGAAATAGTCAAATATTCTTGGGAAAACTTGGGGCCAAACATATGGTGTAATTTCACCAAAAACTTGGCCAAAATATTATTTGTCAAGAATATTTGGAAAGTTGGGGTCAAACGCTAGCATAGATAAAAGAGACTTTTATTTTTTTATTTTTTATGACCGTGGTGTTTTCACCAGCTTTCGCGTATCTCAACTAATTTTACGAAATATCTATCATCTCCCACTAGTAACATCTAAGGAAAAATCACCTAATGTATTTGTCTCTGTTGAATTTTGAATCTGAGACATTAAAATTTTCAACCACTTCATTAATCATGATTTTTTCAAAGATCGCCGTGAATTCTTTGTCAAATTAGATGGAGTGGTGAAGATTATAACCACTAGGTGTAGAAGAGACCTATGTGTTATAAATGTAACTTTTTTCATTTTTACTATTGGCACCTTTCGTTTTCTCAAAGTTTTTTTTAACAAAGTTAAGTTTAATTAAATTAATTTAATACTTTAAAATTACAATTTTAAATGTTCAATGTTATGCAATCAATTGATACTTCCAATGGATTTTGTTCTAAATAATTGTATTATTTTTTCCTTTCACTCATAAATATGCTTATTATGGGTATCATGGGTTAATATATATGTTAAAGTAAGACGGTTAACTGTTAAGCTACGGATATTTTGTTTTTTCATAAAGTGATTGTTTTTCTTTTAGGTGATTTATTCACTTCTTCTTTTTAACAAAAGGGAGATATTTTATATATAGTTACCTACTTAACATTACATTATTGCTATTAGTACTTGCGATTACAGATAGATTATAAAAACGAGTTAACTTATTACTTGATGTTGCTGGTGAGCATTTAAATTTGCAAGGGTAATTTTATTTGTTAAAGCATTAAAGACGTGAAATCAATATTTTGGTTTAGTTTTTAAGTGAGATGTAAAAGTTTGGCATGAATAACAAACTAATATTGAAGGTGATGGGCTATTAATTGGAGGAATTTATAAGTGGACAAAATGGACCGAAAAGTTGATTTTTAGCTTGGAGAGAACTAATTTAGGTCTAGACATAGTTAAAGGCCTAATTTATAGGGATTTTTACATTTTACAAGATATACAAGTATAATAAATCAGACATAGCTAGCTGAAAGTTCTTTCAAAAAACTTATCAAATGGCAATGTTACATTTAATGATTCCAATTCTCATATTTTACTTGATCATGGGATACGGTAGGGGTGTCAAAAGAATATGAAAAAACAATCAAATTAAACCAATTGAATCTAATTGTATCAAACTGATTTATTATATATTTTTAATAAAATTGTGGACTTTTATTTAAGTGTATATCTATATCAAACAATTGGAATAAACTTTTTCATTTATGAAAGAAAAACAAAAAAAATTCAAACCGAGCCGAATAACCTTACATGTATGCAAATATTTTATATATTAACTATATGTTAAATTTTATATATAAATATATTTATAATATTTTCAAATATAAATATAATTTAGGTCACATGCCTCTGTCCTTTAATTATCCTTTAATTAAGGGATACAACCGGCTACCCCCTTACTTTCATACCCCTTCTTTTTAATTACAAATTTGTGTTTACTATTTGATATGATCAAAGCGTGTGTGTGTATATATATATATATATACACTCTGATGGTATCAAAGAGGAAGAAGTGGCCCTTCAGTGAAAACACTACTCAGTTACTCCTTGATACCTTTAGAGTATATATGAGGGTGGTCAAAGCCGAATCGAAAACCGCACCAAAACACAAACTGAGTCAAAACAAGAAAAAAAATCCGATTAATGATTTGGTTTGACTTGGTTTGGTATTGAAGAAAAAAACCTGACTATATTGGGTTGGGTTGGTTTTAACTTTAAAAAGTTAACCCGAGACCAAACCAATCTGACATCATATACATAATTTTTGAAAATTGTTTTATACATAAAAGTATTTACTTTGATATAATTTATAAATATTTCTTATACTTTTTCATAATTTTTATCTTTTATCATATTATTTCAGGTTTGACTTAAAATTTTGAATAGTACAATAAAGGTAATATTCTATAGATATTAGTAACTCTATCAAAGCTCGAATCAATATTGCTAACAAAAAAATCAACTCAAATACTAAGAATGTCAATAATATTGAATATTTGTTCTTTAGTTATATATTGGTTTAGACTTATTTTAGCATGATTTATACTTTAAAATTATGATCATTTTCATTTTGACTTGTAGATTTGCAATATTTGTTTTATGTGATTTCATTATTATTTTTGTTGAATATTTTAGTGTCATCACTCATATCATATTTTGGGTTATTTTTTAAGATTCACCTTAGATAATTATATTTTGGTAAGACTATAGAAATATTTGAAACACGAGTTAATTATATGTTTGTATGAATACTTTATCAGAAAAACTCAAAAACTAGAGAAATTCGGGGGAAAAAACCCGAAAAAAACGAAGGTTGAAAAACTCGAATTTATTAGTTTGGTTTGGTATATAGATTTAAAAACCAGACATAAATGGTTTGGTTTGGTTTGGTTTGATTTGACTTGGTATTTAAAAAATCCAAACCAACTTGGTTCAT